ATTGATACATTTTTATGCTGTTTTATGATTTTATCATGTTTACTGCTGTGAGCCACCTGGAGCAGATTCTTCAGAGGTGCAGGATACCTATTTTCTAAATAAACAGATTAATAAGACTGAATGGTATGTTCTGAGGAGGGAGACTTCTTGCTAGCTCAGAGACTGCTCTTGGGTATGAAATTTCTCTTGTAAACCAGGCAAACAGTTCAAAAGGGCGACCGGCCTTGAGGCGCATCTCTCAACCTCACTAGGGCCCAATCTGCATCTAGCATTTGCTCCGCTGTTTTACCAAACCCACACCGGAACAGAAAAAGATGTGGCTCAAAACCACATTCAAATATCCTGGGCCAATGCCATACTGACTGCAGAGTCATCCCCGAATGGCCATAAAATGGCCATAAAATGGCCATAAATCTATGCAGATGGCTACCATAAAACCAAGAGATCAAACAAAGTGAAAGTGGCATGCAGTCTGGACACTGCCATAAAATCCGACAATCAATCAAGGTGAAAGTGGCATGGTACTTTAGCCAGTCACTAGATCTCTCTAGAACCCTGTCCTGATATCGCCAGTTCACAAGTTACACTATGCCCATGTCCTCCATGTGTCCGATTGACAAACGTGGCATGGGAGTTCCATCCCTTCTGCATCCTCAGGTGGAACAAGCCTCAGGTGCAGTGAGCGGCATGTCGGACTAGGAACCTGGAGACCAAATCTCAACCCAGCCATGAAACTCACCGCACCCGAGGCTTGTTCTGCCTGAGGATGCAGAAGGCATGGGACTCTGTCAATCAGACACATGGAGGACATGTGCATAGTGTGACTTGTGAACTGGCGATATCGGGACCGGGTTTTAGTTACACGCTCTCTCGGCCTGACCTATCCTCCCAGGGAGATTGTGAGGACAAAGCGCAGGGGCAGAACTCACATGCACCACCCTAAGCTGCTTGGAGGAGGAACAGCATGACTAGTCCTGGCTTGCCAACTGTCCTTTAGGTACCAGGTGCTTCTGAAGTTAGGTCTCCCTCTTTCCAATGGCCTCAGAACCTGCAGAGGAAATGGGACAGCTCATTTGACCCCACATGACTCAACCTTCTGTCCCACTGTTTGCAGGAGGATTTAGACCTCGTTTTTTTAAAGATCAAGCAATAATTGCTTGCCCTGATCTGGATAGCCCAGGCAAGCATGATCTTGTCAGATCTCAGAAGATAAGCAGGGCTGACTCTGGCAAGTACCCGGATGGGAGACCTCAAAGGAATAGAGGCAGCAAGCCACCTCTCTGAATGTCCTTGCCTCCCAGCCCTACTAGGGGTCGCCAGAAGTCAGCCATGACTTCTAGGCGCGCGCATGCACACACGCACGCACGCACACACAAATACAAAAAAAATCCAACCATTGCTTGAGCACCCCAGTCAAGTGACTGATGCTGGCCTCTCCAATAACAGAGTCAATACACCAAACAGAGATAAATGCTAATGATATTTTAACACAATGGCAACAGAGCCTGCTTGTTGGAAAGTTTCAGTTAACAGTTGGACACAGCTGCCAGGATCAAAAGGCTTGATCACAGGGCAGGATCCCTTTATAAACATGGCAAAGACTGAACCGTGTTTCAGACAAAAATCTGGTTATTGCTCTAGCCTACTTAAATATTTGTTATTTCTATAGTGCTCTCAGTGAGCCTGTTGCCTTACAGGATACAAGACAAAAAGTCCCTGCCCCCAAGGAGCTTTCAGCCTGAGAAAAGGGAGACGACAAAGGGAGGGGAGGGAGGTAAAGAGAAACAGGGGAAGAATCTGCATTTATTCCACCTAGAAATATCCAACATTATTAACAGCATCTGTATAATGCTAGGGGGCTTGAGCAGCCGATACCAAGCGTTCTTAAACAGTCTGCCTTGTTTGGCAAATTGTACTGACTACAATTTCTTCTGATATGCAGCACCTGGGGAAAAGGTAAATTCTTTTTTTAAATGCCGTGGATGGAAGCTGTCACTCACAAGGAAAGAGTTGGTCAGTACACTGACTTTGTCAAACAAGGCAGACTGCTTATGAGTCAGTTTAGAGATAGAAGAAGAAGAAGAGATTGGATGTATACCCTGCTCTTCACTACCTGAAGGAGTCTCAGAGTGGCTTACAATCTCCTTTCTTTCCCTTCCTCACAACAGATAGCCTGTGAGGTAGGTGGGGCTGAGAGAGCTCTTTTGAGGACTGTTCTTGAGAGAACAGCTCTGAGAGAACTGGGACTGACCCAAGGTCATACCAGCCGCTGCATGTGGCGGAGTGGGGAATCAAACCCGGTTCTCCCAGATTAGAGTCCGCACTCATAACCACTGCACCAAACTGGCTAATAGGGGATAGTCCTCTGGAATTCTAGGCTTTTCATAAAGTAATCAGATTATTATCTGTTTAAGGCACATTTGGATTTATAACATTCTTTCTGCAAAGGTGATGGACTAGTTAGGGATAGCCTGTAACTGCAGACTCATGAGTCTTATATTGTCCTGGAATGTTCTGATGCACTTAGGGATCCACAGCTGCAACTCTGTATATCCCCCCATGACAGCCTGAAGCGAAACACTGTTGAAGGCAATTGAGAAGACTGATACTTGGTATCCACTTGGTGTGCCAGTGGCCAGCATACCAGTACGAAGTAGGTTGGAAGACACTGGTAGAAATCTGAAGCTGACCATGTCAGAGCAGTCATTTGCCTACAAGGTAGCAGTGATGTTCAGAAAAAAAGTATATGGAGGCAATTCATTTGCCAGGTCCTTTGTGAAGAAAGTTGCTGTTCTCAGAACCAATCTAGATGACATTTCAAGACAGCAAGTATGCATCAGCCATATTGAATGGAAATGTTTATCACAGTTGAGAGGGGCATTTTGGGTTTGGCCACCTTGACCAATGCCAACCGATTGCTAGGAACTGTGAAGGCAGCCACCACTTGAAAACCAGTTTCTTGTCCATGACAGATAAAGATGTAAAATTTCTGGAAACCAAGGCCATGGGAAAAAAGGGGGGGGGGTTGCCCTTAAAAAAATACCAGACATTTTGCAGAAAATTAGAATATACATTTCAGGTGGTTAACCGAGTTAATCTGTAGCAGCAGAACAAATTCACGTCTAGTAGAACATTAAAGACCAACAAAATTTTCCAAGGTATAAGCTTTCATGACTCAAAGCTCACATTGTCAGATATGAAGAATTTTAGAATATATGCAGTACAATCCCCCCCACACACATGTTTTTCCTGGGCCTTCACACCTCTAATCATGACTACTTAATTCTTGCCAGAAGTGGAGAGAACCTTTGCCTAGGATAATCAGCCCCTCTTTACTAGTGAATAATTTCCCTCATGCATTTGAACAGGAAATGGTTGATCTACTTGGGGGGGGGGGAACTCTCCTTAGATAAAGATGACTTGGCTAATTATTGTTACAGTCCTCCATTTTGGGACAATGGTGATTGTATGGTGGCAGAGCTAATTCAAGCATTACTGTTTTTCCCCTTGAATATTTTACAATCTAAAATGGAGAGGGTCTTTGTTGCACTAGTGGATGGCCCTGTGTCTGTGGACTGGCAAAGGTAGTTCCTCCCTGTTAATCCTATTTGATATGGTCAATGATGCTACCTTACTGGACCATTTTGCAGGCATTTTCACGGGTGGCTCTCCATTGATCTTTCTTGTTCAAATTCGCCCAAACTTTTCATTGGCAATGCCAAGTCATTATGCTTTGGCTTTATTGTGTATGGTACCCACAAGGTACTCTTTGCCGTGCTCTTGAATTTCTATGCAAGTTTTGGATTTGGGCATTTTTAATACACTGATGACACCAAACTGTCCATTTCATTAAATCAGACAACTGGCAGCAGCCATTTCTTCTGAAACAGTGTCTGGATGTGGTGGCAAGGGTAATAAGAGAGAACAATTAGAACTCAGTCCTGACTAAAGGAAGTGGTGCTGACAGGAAATGTCTAGGCTCTGAAAGGTTTGGTTCCAGATTATCTTCTCTGACCAAGTAAAGAACCTTGGGATGCTCTTAGACCCATCCTTGCTCTGAAAGAAGCAGTAAGCTAATTTCCCCCCAGTCTGTGGGTAAATGTGTCACAGTGTTTTGAGGGACAGGGCAAAGGTCAACCTCATCAGGTCAAAAGGACAACAGAAGGCACACAACTGTTGAGAAGCAATGAAAGCCCTGCATGCTCCCCTCATGAAGATTAGATATCCTTCTAGCTGCAGAAATGCATCTTGGGTTTAAGAGCTGTATACGTCTACACCATGCCCACCTTGTCTTTAAAAGCATTTCACTCATTCAAAAAGAGAAAATATTTCATAAGAGTTTTTTTTCAGTACTCCCCCAAATTTTGTGTTTTTCCATTGGAAAAATTGAGAAAAAGGCTTACAAAAAGGGGGGGTATTTTTTCTGCGGGGGGGGGAGTTACAACTCAATCAACAGCATCTGCTTCTCCATTCTAGGCACTGATCTGGCTGTGTTGATCCATATTTCTGTAAGTTCCAGTTTAGACTGATGTAATGTGTTGTACATGGTGCTGCCCTTGAAGGCAACTTGAAAACTTTAGTTAGTCCAAAATGCAGCCACCCAGTTTTTGGTTAGTGATGGGCAATGCACTCCAAGCCTATTTTAAAACAACAACACTGGCTTCCAATTTGCTTCTGCATTCAGCTCAGGGTGCTGGTTCTTACCTTGAAAGCCCTTCAGGACATGAAAGCCACATACCTCATTGTTATTCTTCTATGAGGCTGTAGGGCTCTTCTATTTCAAAGGGTTTATGATTAACTGTGGCATTTAGTTTTCAACGGGACATTCCATATGGCGTTTTAATCTGTTAAAGTCCTTAATCTATATTTGTTTGGTTTTCGTTTACAACCAATTACTTTTATAGCATAATGTTCTAAATGACTACATGCCACCTTGCACTTCAGTAAGACAGGATATACTCTTTGTTTTAAACTTCTTCTCCTTTCTCCCTTCCATTAAGGACGATGAACTCCAAAAAAAGGGCAGTTCTGTTCTGCATCGTCTTTCTTGGTCTCTTCTCAGTGGTAGCAGTTGTTTACTTGGACTTGGACTGGTAAGAAATCAAGACTGATGCATTCAAGATATTTCCTTTTTAATCTTTATTAAAACAAATGAACAACAAAAGGAAAAATGAAATACCAAGATACAGAAAATATATAACAATCCCTTTCCCCTTTACAACCATGGACACAGACATCCTTTATCACCACAGGGCAACTATGGTGTTAATTCAGTCTAGCCTAGGGGTCACCAGCTCCGGGTTGGGAAATACCTGGAGATTTGGGGGGTGGAGTCTGAAGAGGGCAGGGCTTGGGGAGAGGAGGGACTTCAATGGGGTATAGTGCCATAGAGTCCACCTTCCAAAGTGGCCATTTTCTCCAGGTGAACTGTAATCCCAGGAGATCTCCAGCTACCACCTGGAGGTTGGCAGCTGTAGTCTATTCTGTTGCCAGTTCCATCCTCGGTAAAGCCTCTGACCATAGTAGGTCTCATTTGAGTGTCTCTCTGCTTTTCTGGGCTGTGGTTAATTTCACAAGACTATAGATCTTTATTTTCAACTGTATTCCCAGTCTTGTAATTTAGGAGGGGTTTTTTGTTGTTGTTTCCATTGCCGTGCAAAGACCAACCTAGCAACAGTAACCATCTGTAAGGCAACCATTGACAGGTCACTAAGGAGGATATCAGGTATATAATTTAGCAGCAGTGTCTCTGGCTTGTAAGGTATCTATTTCCTCAACCCAGCCGATATAATTTTCACAACTAGTTTCCATTAGCTGGAGGCAGGTGTACATGTCCACCACATATAAAAAAAGTTTGCCTCATTTTATCCACATTTTATTTGCTGGTTTCAGCGTTACAACCAACCTTAAAGGAGCCAAATATTATCTGTGAATCATTTTCAGCAGATTTTCTCTAAAGGAGAGAGAAACTGTAAGGTAGTACTGTGGGTGAAGATAAATTTCCATTTCAAGTCCTCTAAGTCATTGCCTCAGGTTTTTTGCTGCCTTATGCCGAAGTTTTGATCAGACTAGCATCATATTCAATAAAATAGTGTACGTACATTCAAGATTTTTTCTAATGAACAGACTATTGCAGGGGTGTCAAATTCATTTGTTATGAGGGCCGGATCTGACATAAATGAGACCTTGTTGGACCGCGCCATGTGTGTCATAAAGTGTAATGCCAGGTAGCGGAGATATAAACTTTATAAAGGGCACAAGCACAAAGGGTTTTTTAAATTTAAAATAAAAACATGCTTAAAACATTAGCTATGTAAGCTGCAAACCTACTTTTGATTTATTGACATTCACCACAGAAATCTCATGCTCAGAGTTCTGAGTCTAGGACCCAGGTTAAAACATGAAGTGGCTGAGTGATTAAGAGAGTCTGGCGAAGCAAGCTATGATGCAGCAGCAGAACTGGAAGCAGAAGATGGCCACTGTGGGCCTGATGGAAGCGCTCCGGGGGGGGGGGCTTATCCGGCCCCTGGGCCTCATGTTTGACACCCCTGGACTATTGTGTCTTGCAGGGAATCAGCCACACACCTCTTTTTTTTGCTCCATTCTGGCTTTCAAGGCCTGTTCAGGGATCATAACTTTCTTGGGAACAAATGCACGAACAGGTTCTCTCCATCCCAAAAGTGTTAGCAAATAAACTCTTCTTAAAATGGGGTAGAATAGCTGTGAGCCAGCAAGGACACAAAGTTCCAACCTTCCTCCACTCATTGTCGGGATGATTTTGAATTTCTCTTCCCTGCCCTTTCAACTCCCAAATTACTGGTTCGATTTTGCTTTCGACCTGATGAAAGCTGAATCCAGGATTGCATATCATTTCTGATTTGTTGCACCACCCCTAGTGTGCATTTGCAATTTTGTAAATCAGCACTGGACATCATTTATACATATAAAACATATTTGCATGCATAAGGCCATATAAAAGCTTACAACATACATTCACAATACAAACTAACCTACGAACCTAACAGCAAAAAAGCTGGAAAGTAGAACTGGTAGCAAAAACAAAGATAAGTACAAAAATACAAAACAGAGAATTCATCACCACACACCAGTTAGCTTCGGATCAGCTGTTTTCTCAGTCTTGATGCCCCTATCTGCAGCCAGGAAGGGGGGACAATTGACCTTTCTGTTGATCTCAAGATGTGCCACAAGATAATGTGGAGAAGCATTTTGAACTCTCAAGATGGACTACTGAAATTCTTAATGCCACTACCAGGGAATATACAGGCCCTGAACAACACTGTACACAAGCGGGATCACGCATGATACCTAGGTGCAGAAATTCATTCACCTCTCAATCTAAACTAAGGCCAAAATAAATTCCCCCATACTTTCAATTAGCAATGTGATTTTTTACTCCTGTTGCTAAAAATTTAACTCAGGATTCAAGGGTTCACTGGGTACCTCCATTTTTATTTTGGTATGAACCTCAGGTGAAGCTTCATAACACGTTAAATACCAAACACCGTCTTCCAAATTCTGTAATTATTGTTATTTGGTTGAGGCGGCAGGCGTTCAATCCATTCTGGGGGGCCCTGTCCTGTCCACAACGCTGTTTATGACCTTTTTCCAGTGCCCTACTATTTTGAATATTATCTGGACACTGGAGTTTCTTAGGGAAATTATTTCATAAGGCATGGATTTGGTTTGATCTGCTATTGCTAATTATTGTTTTATTGCTTTTATTGTTGTTGATTGTACGTTGTGAGCCACCCTGAGGCAATTTTGGGGGTGGAATATAAATTTAATAAATAAATAGATGTTGAAAATAAATAGGTTAGGATGCAAATATCACTGCATGCTGACTGTCAGTTATGAAAATACTATCAACTGCCAGCACTCAAAAGCTGAAATGCAATGGCATTGCAATAGATACCGCATATTCCAGTACTTAGAACATTTGTTACCTAAATGCCGAAGAAAGAATTTAGTATCTGGGATCAGACAAATTCATTTCAGCTCTAATTAAGATGTGTCTCCCAAGTTGCATGGAGATACAGATGATTTACTCTGGTACAAATAAGTGTGGGTCTGCTGGCTTTCTGCAACTACATGAGATCTTGGGGATATCTGATCAGACCATCAGATGGGTATTCTAGTTGCAAAAAGCAGCTATGGCACTGGGAAATGTGCCTGTCTTTTTTCCTTCCTTGCTATAGGAGGGCAGTTTCTCATTGGAGGGACAGTAGAGAGAGGAGGAAAGAGTTATAACTCCCTTTCCACACACCATGGCCCCAATCCATAATTGAGGCCCCTGCAGCTGATTTTTTTTTTTTTGCAACAAAATTCTCACATCTGGAGATCCAGTCATAGACCCATCCAGGCACTTAAGGCATCCCAATGAGGATGGGGAGGGTGTTCCCGCTTAGTGTTGATGCAAAATGTAAAGTGCAAGCAACTGAACCACAGCTGCGTGTAACATTGTGTTGTTCCTGTTTCAGCAGGGATGGAACAGAGGTGTGGATATACAAAAGGTAAGCGACCAACAGAATTGAGGGGAAAGGCTTTCTTTGTAATATACAGAGGTGGGCTTGGGCTGCCCAGTCCAGGCTGGGATTTATTGGATTTAAACAAGGCCTCTTAGGCAGGGGGTTTCCCGGTCTGTTGCCTAAGATGCTTTAATTGGAGACATTGTGGGGGAAGAAGTTCACCCGAGAGACTATCTGCATACAGGCATGTATTCTATCACTGAGCTGTGGCCCTCCAATGCAGAGGTGGTAATTCAACAACAACACTTGCGGAACAGTCCCTGGATATAGTTGTGCCTACAGCGTGTGGATCTGGTAGAATAAGAACATAAGAAGAGCCTTGCTGGATCAGACTAGGGGTCCATCTAGTCCAGCATCCTGTCTCACATAGTGGCCAACCACTTCCTCTGGAGGGCCAACAGCAGGGCATTGAGGCTGAGACCTTCCCCTGATGTTGCCTGCTGGCACTGGGATTCAGCAGTTGACTGCCTCTGAATTTGGAGGTCCCCCTCAGTCACCATGGCTAGTAGTCACTGATAGACCTATCCTCCATGAATCTGTCTTATCCTCTCTTGAAGGTGTTTATTCCTGTGGCCAACTACAGCACTCTGGAACCAAATTCCATCATTTAATCAATTTGTCATGTCATTTCAATAAATACCAAGGATAACCTAACTGACCAGGCTTAATAAGACTGAATGTTCTAGCAAGCTGGGCCCCAGTGAATCATCGGGGGGGGGGGGGGTTGGCTGTTGCAGCTGCTCTGGCTGTTTCAGAGAGGTTAAAAAAATCCAGCTACTGATACACATGATGAACTGATGATTTTGCACTGTTCTGTGATTTTGCACTGTTCTGTGCTGTATGAACAGGCAGTGCTGAGGGTCATATTCCTGTTGTATGGAAGTGGCACAAGGCCCAATCCAATGGGACAGCTCTGTGTCTCTCTTCTAAATGAAAAGCTGCCTTCATTTGCTGTGATCAGGAACTGACACAACAGAAGAGGGTTTGTTTACAGTGCAGTTCTAGGCAGACTTGAACCCTTCTCAATCCACTGAAGTCAATAGGCTTAGAAAGGGGCCACTGTGTTTAGGACTGCATTTTAATCTGTTTCACCTCCTCCTATTTGTCCTCCGAAAATCCACGTCAGCTATTTTTCCAGCCAAGGGGCAAAGATACAGCATCCTTTCCCCCACAGGATTAAAGGTAGCTCAGGGGCACTCAGTGTAATTTTTTTCCCTTTTAAAGGAACAGTGGCAAGAGGAAAAAGGCTTGAAGAACCTCCACTAATCATGACAGCCTTCCAGGGCTATTTTTCATTTTTTAAAAATGAGGGGGAAAGTGACATGAAAATTCTGTGCCCCAGCTCAGCAAGAAGAAATGCCCAGTGAGGTTGGACCACTTGCACACATATGCCCAGAGAATAAAGTGGCAATAATGACCAAGCCCTGGTTCTCTGCCAAGATATAAATATGCTCAGTTGGAATCTATCATTTGCATCTTTCAGTTTCTATACAGAGCGTGTCAGACACTTTGACTAAACATTCTGTTCTGATGTACAACACACCTTACAACCTGCCTGGAAACTATGCTTATCCATTATCAAAAAATATACATACCATTTTGTTAAAGCACAGGGAAGTTGAAAATGAGATAAGCCAGCATTCCCACACAGCCAATCAATTCAGAAATCTGATATTTACCCATCTACATTGGCCTTTATTATCACACAGCAAGAGAAAGGCTAAAAAGCACTTTAAATAGCACCTGTGAAATTGGCCTGTGTTTGTATCTGCTTCCACCCTAGGATGCTTTTCTGTTACCAAGTCATCCTTTCCCTGTAATTATCTGCAGGTGGTAGAATTGGAACTGTGTGTGTGGAGGGGGTCCAGATAGCATTTAATATAGGACAGTACTTCTCATACCCACAGGCCTGATCCTATTATATGTTTCCTTAGAATTAAGATCAATTCTCCTTGACAGTTCCTTTTTTGTCTTTATTATTTCCTCTTCATAGCTGGAGCATTCCTGAACCATTTGTTAGTTCATCATCTTCATCATATGGTCAACAGACCTTCCACTAACACAGTCATTAAAGCAAATTATAGTACCTGCATATGTCTGGGTAACAGAGTTCTTTCATCATTACAGCTTTGCACTTTGCAGCTGAAGTTACTGCTCATTGGCTTGGTTTTTTTATGATGGTAGGAGTACAATGAGGAATACACACACACGCATATATATTACTGTGGCTTTGCATACAAACTGAAAAGTGATACTTGACTCGCTCAGACAAGAACTGATAATTAACAATTGATTCAGGAATTCTCAGGAATGCCACACAGTGAGAGTGCCTTGGATCAGGAATCTCCATGGTCACACACCTTTAGATTTTCACAATAGCGATAAATGAAGCTGTTCAACCTAAGCCAGGCCATTGATCCAGCTGTTCTACTTCTGCCCAACTGGCAGTCTCAGGGGATCTTTCCCAGTACAACTACCCAAGATCCTTTTAATTAGAAAATGTGCTGAATTCAACCTGGATCCAATTTCTACATGCTTGAACACTGGGGCTATGACCAAACTAGTTTTGTTCTAGCTAAGGTATCATGTTGTTTCCAAGTTCTTTGACTATCTGCTCTTTCTCTCTCTCTCTCTCTCTCTCTCTCATATACAGGAAACTACAGATCGCCGAGTTGAAAAATGAAATAGATCGCTGGCTGACCATACGCATGTCAGGGTCAACAGCAAGTAAATCTCCACACACGACTCCAGGGGAACGTTATGCTTTATTAGATTACAGGTCCGTTGCCATGGTCTACAGGGATATTGTTAGGAATGACAATGGGGTGGATGCATCCCTTCATATAGCATGATGCTGTAAATGGCTAAGCAAATGAAATCCAAGCGCGTGCGTGGGAATTCTCCCGGCGGGAGGTTACATAATGAGCGGGAATGTCTCCGTGCCCCATGAGAGCAGAAATATTCACACCAACAGTGGAACGCAAGCCCTCCCTTTCCCTCAAGGTTAGTCAGATAACCCAGTCTGGCAGCGCCAGTTCGCACTGTCTCAGGAGAGCCTCCCTATCGCTGTTTACAGCTAGCCAGCAAAGCAAGCAAGCAAGCATGTGCCGTAGCGCCACAGTCAGGAAAGGACAGGTGCACATGAAAAATGACAGCTAGCTGACAGCGCGACTGGTTCAACCCCAGGTAAGAAGACCATGTAAACCAGAACCGAAACCCATAGGCCTGAAACTTGTATGTTTGGCTCTGTTGTGGAGCACCTGCTTTGTAAATGGGTTCAGTCCCCAGCATCTGTACTTCCCCAGCCAGAGGACCTGGAGACCCAATGCAGGCAGGGTGGACACTCCAGAGCTAGATACACCAGTGCTCTGATTCAGTATAAGGCAGCCTCAAGGGGGATCACAGAACAGCAGAGCCATCTCTGTTGTTGTTGTAATTAAGAACAAAAGAGAAGCCAATGTTGGATCAGGCCAATGGCCCATCTAGTTCAACACTCTGTCACACAGTGGCCAAAAATACCAGGTGCCATCAGGAGGTCCACCAGTGGGGCCAGGACACTAGAAACCCTCCCACTGTTGCCCCCCCCCAAGCACCAAGAATACAGTGCATCATTTGCCCCAGACTGAGAGTTCCTATCTACTCACAAGGTATTGTCAAGTCACAGCCAACTTCCCCTATAGTGTCTTAATTAAACCCACCACTCCTGGCATAATTTGTGCTCTCCCCTACAATCTTCTTCATTGCATGCAGTGTCCTAGCCAACCTGTCTTGATTTCTTGCAGGAATGAATATGGTAATCAAGAACCAAAGAACGTATCATTGCCTCAGTGGTTTAATCCAAGGTAAGAAATATAAATTCAGAACCAAGATATTGGGGCATAAGGGGAGGTTTACACAGCACCTGAGGGTAATACATGACCTGCCACAGTCTTGGTACCACAACAGGGACCCTTATATTTACTTCAGCAGAGAACACAGCTCTTTAGGGCCATTTCAGGCCGAGGAAACAGCCTGGGTTGAAGGTTTGTTTCCCCTCCGAATCAGGACCCCATTCAACTGATAACTGCACTTTTAAAAATAAACTGGGAATTCAGCTCATAGAACTGTTCTGTCACTGTGAAGCCATGTAACCAACATATTTTCAGGGCTGGCTCAAGGTGTTTCTGCGCCCTAGGCAAGGCTGCCTTGTGGCACAGATGCCAACCTCCCGGTGGGGCCTGGAGACCTGGAGACCCCTGGAGCCAGCCACCCTTTTGCTGCCGCCACCACCGCCTCTTCCCCCCCGCTGCCACCAAAGGAGGGGAGGCACAGCTTGGCACCCCATCCATGGCCCGGCACTCTAGGCGAATGCCTAGTTCGCCTAGAGGGTGAGCCGGCCCTGCATATTTTAGCAACAGAGTTCCCTGTGGCCATTTCAGGACTAAAAATGGTGCAGGTGAGGGGAAAGCTGAAGCCACCCCTCTTGTCATAATCAGAACTGGGCTTGCTCACATCTGGGAGGCACTGAGCTCCCCTGGCATAGCTGTCATTCTCTTAATGCAGAGGAACCATGTTTGGTGTTGTAGTGAATTGTGCAGATTTCCCACTCCCCCGTTTGCAGCTGCTGGATGACTTTGGGCAAGCCATAGTTCTGTCAGAGCTGTTCTTGAAAGGGCAGTTCTCTCAGAGCTCTCTCAGCCCCCACCTACCTCACAGAGTGTCTGTTGTGGGGACGGGAAGGGAAAATGAGTTTGTAAGCTGCTCTGAGACTTCAATTGAAGGGCGGGGTATAAATCCAATCTCATCTTCCTCCTCTTCCTCCTCCTCCTCCTCCTCTTCTTCTTCTTGCATGCCCTCCAACATGTCAGAAATGAAAACAGGGACATGCATGTACCACCCCAGTCCTCATACCAGGGCCACTGCCAAGCCCTTTCCCCCATTTGCTGAGTGCCAAAGGCCCCCCTTTCCCCATTATCAATTATCCACCATCAACACATACCTCAGCAGCTACAGAGTATGAAAGGAGAGGCTGTGTGCAGAGCATAAGCCTTAGTGCTCATGCACATAAGTTTATAGGCAGGTATGCTAGAGATGAGACACATCCATCTCCCATTTAGAAACAGGACTTGCAAAAGACTCCTGGCAAAGCATGAACCCTGAAGAACAAGAAACACAGCAATTCTTACAAGCAAAAACTGTTAGCCAAGCTTCCCTTGCAAGCAAAAACAAGGAGAAAAACTGGGCAGTGATTAAGCAGGGAGCAGGTCCCAAAAAACAGGAGCAGTGAAGCTGTATGACCATGGCAGCATGTCAACACCATCAATGCAATGCTTGGGACCAGACAACATTTCCAAGAAGGTTTCAAAGAGCACATTACAGGAAAGAAATGAACAGTTATCCATGCTCTGGTTGCATCTAAGCTTGCTTACTGTAAAGAACGCATCTGGCACATCAGTTCAGCTTGACAAGAGGTGTATCAATGCTACTAAGGACTCTATCAGCTCAGTTTTCACCACCCTGCCCCAAACATACATTTCCAAACAATGAGCTCCCTAGCTTCAGTGTGCAGTAAGTAATAGCTTGGGGAAGTTCCTTTTGGGCTCCAGCCATCACTTCATTAGGGCAAAATAATGTCCCCAACAATCTCACGCACCAACCAGCACCAGCTACCCTTCACAAGCAAGGCAAGAGTTCATAGAACTGAACAGCAACACAGGACCACAAGTTCCCCAGGAGACGGCAACTGACTGCAATGGCAAGCTATCAGATCCTTCCTCGAACCACATTGCATGAGACATACTTTCCCCAGAAACGCTGCAGGGGGATTTTAGGGGCGCCATGGCACTCACCAACACCTTTTCTGGTGCCCGCCAAGCGTTTTTAGGAAGCGGGCGGGGCCAGGCTTTTGCAAATTTAATTGGCTGTGCAGATTTTTCAAAAACATTGTACTGGCAGCAGCTGCCACCACAGCACAAGGATCTGCACTGTTACTGGAGTTAAACTGTGGCAGTCATTTTGTGGCTGGCTCTGCCTCCTGCAGCAGCCATTTTGTTGCTGCGCCCACCATGCCATGTCAGAATTCCAAATGTGTCTGCAGGCTCAAAAAGACTGCTAGTCTACTCTGTCCGGGAGTAGCTCCCGGGGCCTCAGGAAGAGTTCATATCACCTACTACCCAGTCTTATTACCTGGAGACACTGATAATTGGGAACTGCTGCATGTAAAGCAGATGCTCTAGTAGTGACCCACAGCTTCTGCCATAAGCTGCTCCCTGAGGAACCATGGGAGTATTTTGTTCCATAAGAAGATGCCAGTGAGTAACTTAGATTTCTTAGCAGCCTTGTGAAGCTACTACAATCCCCAGGATTCCTTTGTGGGGGAGGAGTCAGCACTGCGCCTGATTGTGAATGAATTAAAATTCTTTTAGTAGAAATCTGCCCTTATTTCAGATATTTTTATCTCACACTCTTAGCATCGTTATTGCATCATTACAGCATCAAGCCATAAATCCATAGAGAGCTTAATGAAACCACGGTAAAAAACCCCAGCTGCATTCCAACTTAAAACATCAATAAATGCTGCTGTCTAAAAATAATGAATGCAAGATAGGAAGAAGAAAGAAAAAACTACACAGAACAAAGAAATCAGCAAAAACATTCAGGAAAATAAAAATGCATTCACTTGGTACTTTAAGCTCAACAAAATTGGCACCAGGCAAATCTCCCCAGGGAACCAGAGGTCATTTTGGGGGGGATCGCGGGGGATTGCAGTTCCCCCGGGTGAGGTATGGGGGCGGGGCACATGACGAAGCCCCGCCCCCTGCTTCCGGCCGCCCCGCTTCCGGCCCTCATTCAGCCAGGAGGAGGCAGAAGAAGAGGGAAGGTAAGTTGCTTCCTCCCTGCCTCTCCCCACCCCTGCCTGCCTGGGGCCAGGGAGGGCCTTCGCAGGGCTTCCTTGCACTCCCACCGGCCTTGCAGGTCTAACACCGGGCCCCTCATGGGGCTCGGCAGTGGAGCTGCAAGGCCGGCGCCAGCGGCCGGGACCGTTGGGGGCGGGGTGTGTGGCCTTATGACACACTTCCGGTGATGTCAGGGGGTGTGGCATATGCTAATGAGTTATGCTAATGAGTCCCCTTAGCTCTTTTTCTACGAAACGACCCCTGCAGGGAACAATTCTATACCCAAGGTGCCTCAACTAAGAAGGCCCGGTCTCTGTTTCTCCACCTCCAAAGGTGAAGGAGGGAACACACAGAGCAAAATTTTATCCTAACAGAGAGACATGCTCATTTGAGAGAAAGTGGTCCTTTATATACCTTGGTCCCTCCCAGACCATTTAGGGTCTTATAGATAATGAGCAGCACTTTGAACCTTGATCAAAAGCATACTGGCAGCTAGCAAAGATATTTCAAAAACTGATGATATGTTGTGTACTAACTTGTGTGTTATGTGCCATCAAATCACTTCCCAATTATAGTGACCCAATGAATTAATGACCTCCAAATGGCAACAGCCATACTCAAACCTTGCAGACTGAAGGCTGTGGCTTCCTTTATTGACTCTCATGTTAGGTCTTACTCTTACTCTTACCCGACTCACATACACTGGCAATAAACATTGCTGCTGCAGTCTGTACCAGACTTTATAGGCACCTCATTGCAATAATATGATCAAATCATAGGCTGCTGTGGCCAGATTACATATGAAGCATTTGCTCTAATACTAAACTGTGGCTACTCCGTTAAGTGGAGGGGGAATAGAAATAATAGCCAGTCTGAGACTGCAAAATACTTTTCCTTACAAAAGAAGAGGCATTGCAGGAAGGTTAGTTCTTGCTTTTGCAAGAACTAACTTTAATACCTGCAATAATTAAATGAGTCAGGATGAGATGCAGACTGCTGCACAACTAAAGGTGCACTCTGGGACGCATATCATAGAATAACACTCTATCAGTGTTATAGTATCCTAGGACTGTGTATTCCAAAATGAACTCTCCTGGTCTTGCAGAACTGAAAGCATGCAGAGAGGCTGCGCTCAGAAAGGGTTGGGTGGGAGCCCAGCTTTAAAGCATTTTTGTTCAGGGATCGTCACGGGTGTTTCTGCTTTGCCTGGAAAAACAAACTGCCTGAAAACAGGCTGCTAAATTAAGTACAGACAAGAGTCACTGGGAAATGGCTTTCTCTGAAAAAAATTAAAAACGAGATGCTTTCAGAACATCTGGTCACTGGTTAGTGTTCTGTAAGGCAGAGCTGTTCATCTTCACATTTCCCACTGTCCTCTGGCAAATGTTTTACATGATATTGGACATCTGTGCCAGAGGCTTCAGTTCTGCATAGAACTTTTATATTTGCCTATGGAAAACACATGAATCTGCCTTCTACTAAGTCAGACCACTGGCCATTCAAGGTCAGCATTTTCTACTCTGACTGGCAGTTGCTCTCCAGGGTCTCAGGAGGGGGGGGGGAGTATTTTACATCAGCTACTACCTGATCCTTTGGAACTGAGCAAGCTGGAGGCTGAACCTGAAACCTCCTGCATGCCAAGCAGATGGAACATGCAAAATGCTTTCTGGATCAAACTCTTGCTTTCTCAGGCTCTCCTGACCCAACCAGGATCCAAAAACTTCCCCAAAGAGTTGTAAATTGCTACTAGATGTTTCTTTCTCAGCAACCCAAATATCTTATTATCATCTTCCTGCATAAAGAACAAAAGAAGTCCCAGTATCCACAGGGTAACACCCTGGCAAGTAACCAGAGCACTAAGAATGTGAAAGGCATGGATTTTTTTTTTAGACAAGAGAAAAAAAGGCTATTTAATGTAAAAGTCATAAAGTGATATAGCATTTTTTTAAAAGACAGAAAGCAAAATGGCAAAAAGCAACAAAACAGGACAAAAATACAGATCCTAGTACCACATTTAATTTCAGCTTTCAGCTGAAGAAGCAACAGGAAGGTCCGCCATGTTGACTGGATGCACTAAAATTTCTAAAAGCAACTCCAAGTACTCCCATTTTAACAACTAAGCTTAAGAAGTGCCCTTGCAAAACTTTGGGCTCTTCAGCTTGTGGTGGGGATGACAGCATTTTTACCCAGTAAGGAAACCAACAAAACAGTCCAGGTCAGGACATGTGGTAAGTGCAAACAAAGGACTTGACATCTGATGTCTGTAACTGAGGGGTTAAGCAGCTAAAAACAGTTCAGTTGGTATTTTAACACAGACAGGCTACCTCAGACACATCTTCCGGCAGGAAAAGGAGAGACTTCCTCCAGACCTTTCCAACAATAATCAAACATCATTAGTAAACATGGTGGCTTGTGCCAGTGAAAGCAGCAAAACCAGGCCGCCCACAGAGGATGTAGATACGTGCGGGGGGGGGGGGGACAAAAAGCCACAAAAATGGCCCAGTGTTCCAGCAGGCATGGAACACAGACAGTGATCAGGTCTACTAGAAGAAAAAAAGAAGTCAGGAGAAGAAATTGTCCTATTCATACCCTTCACAGGGTATCCAAGGGAGGGAAATTGGGGATGAGGATTTCCAAATTGCCTTTCAATTCCAAACATTTATTTTAAGAGGGCATCTGTCTAGCACAATTTTATCGCACCCTGCCTTCTAGTTGCTCAGGGCAGCCTGTGTAATTGTCCATTTCTCTAAGGGCTACAGCTTAGATCCTGACGGGAAATCCCACATTCACCTTCTAATAAACAGGCGGATATACTAAGGGTGAAGGGAGGCCTTGGCACGGATCCACAATGTCGTTTAGAAAAACCTGATATTTAAAATGCTGCAAAAAGAGGGTGAGAGGTTCCTTCCATTATAGTCCCTAATTAGGAGCCCAAATGGACCCCCTCCCTTGCTTGGGAAACAGGGGTGCTGCTTCAGTGGGGCACCAAGCTGGCCTCTTTACCCTGAAAACCCCTCATTCCTGGTGGGAAATTGAGCTGCGGTAGGACACTGGGCAGCCAGCCCACAGGGCACTAAATAAGGCCTGAAACAGACCGATCTTGACCAGAGTCATGAAGAACCAACTCAAAATGAAGTCAAAGGTTATCCCAGAGCCTGAGGATTCATAAAGGCCCACCTCTCAAGCCAGGGGATTTCAAGGAGCCTCACAATAGAGCATTGTACTTCCTGGGCCTCTGAAGGACCGCAAATTGTGCTCATTTCTTTAGTGGGGATCCCTTTGGAGACTGTTATGCCTGTGCTACTGACTAGGAATATGAAAATGTTTGCCAGCGTATAGAGAACAACTTATGTAGGGAATGCTGTGTCAAAACTGGGGGGGACGGGGATGGGGACGGACCACTCTGTGAAGAATCCAAGATTTTTGAAAATGTTGACGTGAGTTTGAAGTTACGGTTAGGAAGCCTTGAGGAAGTTTGTGCCGCTTCAGTGTTTGCTTAAAAAGATCTGAGCAGTTACTGTATTTGGAACTTGGCAGTGCCAACTCCATACATACCTCCCTCTGGTACTTTGGTGATTTCCCCCTAACTCCAGGGATGAGCAGATTGAGGGCCCAGAAACTTCCTGTGCAAATTATTCTAGCCATAGTAGGGGCTGGCTCCTAATAGCCTTAATCTGCTTGAGTACTGAGGCTGAGAGAAGACTGGCTGGACTGTGGAATCCTCCCCCCTCCCAGCCCACACCAGATGCTGGGTTTTGGGGAAAAGGTTTGCCAGTAGGGTTGCCAGGTCTTCCCAGCCTTCCAGCGGGGGGCTCCTGGGTCCATGCCTGGATCTTCGGCATGCACACAAAGCCCGCACACTGCCATGGCGTCACCAGGAAATGACGTCATCACACCGGGCACGCCACACATCAACACTCTACCATTTTGGCCAAAAACTCTATGGTAACCAGGAGCTGTTCAGGTGGCGCCTGGGGATCTTCCAGAGTTACAACTGACCTTCAGACTGCAGAGATTAATACCCTTAGAGAAAATGGCTGCTCTGAGGGGTGGACTCTATGGTATTATACCTCATTGAGGTATACCTCTTCCCCTCCCCAGACCACATCCTCCCCAGGTTCTATGCTGGGGGAAAGTTGTACTTGCCGAATTTTAGCCTGTGCTACAGCTGCTAAGGATGACATTAGGTGAGTCAATGGGTCTTAGTAATCTCCCTCTTATTTGTCAGGGCTCGCATGGATGTGGACACACTGACACCTTGGTCAGCCCCCATTATCTGGGATGGAACCGTCGAGAGATCAATTTTAGAGGACCATTACAAGAGGAAGAATGTCACAGTTGGCTTGACAGTTTTTGCCATTGGGAAGTGAGTGCCGCTTAATCACTAAGTGCAGTATTGTTGTTATTTATAATAAATATTAAACTTTTCTAGAGCTTTTAAAAATACATTAAAGACAGTTTCATATTTTTATGACTGATGTTTCCAAACCATGTGCATTGAGAGATCTGCTCATGTATCATGTAAGTTAGTCATACAGGTTAATGTACTAATGTGTCCCAATACGATCCCACACAGAAGACTCTGTTGTGTGGTCTCTATGAGACTTCTAGTTCTGGCCTCACCTACATCCAGTCAGCCTCTTCTGAGAGGAACAGAAGTCATTCTGCTGCATCTCTGCACTGGACCAGTGTCCCTCCTGGGGCAGAGATGGCAGCAGAGGCTCTGATGTTCTATGCCTGATTTACTGCTCCAGGCTTACCCCTTTCAAATCATTAGGAATGTCTGGAACAATGATTCATAAAGGCAAGAGGTAGGATCTTTCAGTGATTGGAAGTTCTTTCTCAGTCTAAAAGAAAAGGGGGGTGCTTAAAAGTGAACATGTGGGGGGAGTTGTGCTTGTTCTGTTTATTTTGACAAATATGAACACATAATACGAACACATAAAATACAATCTAATATCATCTTCTGTTGCAGTACACCATCTCAACAGACAATCTGAGTTTCATCCTTATAAACTTTATTGCATTAGCTGATGGCCTTAACAAACAGCACCAAGAACAGCATCAAGAGAAAATACAATACAGTAATCAAAAATCAAGTTAACCTTTTAAAACTGAACAACAAATCAAACAGTAAACATAACACATAATCTTATCCATCGGCCACACTAACAGTAGATGGTTTTGAGGAAAGCTTTTATCACCCTTGCGATAAACATTGCCGTTTGTGATGTTACCCACTTACTTTTATCAGCAAGTAGTACAATTAGTCTATTGTCCGTTCTCCCTGGGTATTATGATAAAATATTCCCAAGATATTGTTCATGTTCTAGTGCGAATCTTGGGCAGCAGAAACCACATGGCCTAAATCCTCGATAGATTTTTGATCACAGGGTCAGACACGTTTGTTATATGGAATCCTGTTATAGCGGCCTTTTAGCAGTGCCAGTGGTAAGATATCCAATCATGCTTTAGTGAATTCTTTCATATTCTCGAAATTTGATAGATCAGTAAAGTAAGATGGAAGACTTAAAGGAGAAGGTACATATTGTTTATAAAGGGGAGTTATTCTCAGGGTATCTGAGTTTAGAACTCGCTTTGTTGCTGCAAAGTTCCAAAATTCTGTGGTCAATTATGCAAGGTGGATGCACCTAAAATTGTGTAAGAGAGGGAAGCAATGTTCAGCTACAGATGTGTGCCCACAACCCAAATTTCAATGGCAAGGAAGCAGTATGGTCAGGTTAGAAGTGAGTATGTGCATTCAATGCATCTATTTTAGACTGAAGTTTTCTTGGAGGGGGGAGGTGAACCTGAGATATATTTCAGTGAGCAGAATATGGAGATCTACTTTCTTGCCAAAACAACCAAGTGGCATCTTAACTGGTCAAACAAAACAGTCACCCACTCAACTGGGACTTAATTTTGGGAAAGGTTTGTGACTTTTCTTCTGATCTACCCCCAGGTACCTAGACAAATATTTGAAGAACTTCTTAACCTCAGCAAACATCTACTTCATGCCTGGCCACAATGTTATCTTCTATATCATGGTGGACAACATCTCAGGAGTGCCATCGATTGAGCTGGATCCCCTTCGGAGACTGAAGGTCATCCCGGTAGAAAAGGAGAGCCGGTGGCAAGACATCAGCATGATGCGCATGAAAACCATTGGAGACCTCATTGAGAGCCGGATCCGCCATGAAGTGGATTTTCTTTTTTGCATGGATGTTGACCAAGTCTTTGAGAGCTACTACGGGGTAGAGACGCTGGATGAGTCAGTGGCCCAACTCCAAGCTTGGTTTTATAAAGCAAGCAGGAGAGTTTTTACCTATGAGAGGAACCCTGAGTCAGCTGCATACATCCCTTATGAGGAGGGGGACTTCTATTATCACGCAGCGGTGTTTGGTGGCACCCCTCAACGCATTTACAACCTCACCAGGGAATGCTATGAAGGCATCAGAAAAGACAAAGAACATAACTTGGAAGCCATTTGGCATGACGAAAGCCACTTAAACAAGTACTACCTCCGGAACAGGCCCAGTAAGGTGTTATCTCCAGAATACTGCTGGGATTATAACATTGGCTTGTCCTATGAAGTCAAGAATATAAAGTTATCCTGGCTGCCCAAAGCATATGAAGAAGTCAGAAATAAGTAACGTGTCAACATTCCTAAAAGCAAAAGGTTTTTGGCTGGTCACTCTGAGTGCAGAGTATGTTCCTCTGGCAGTCTGAAGAAAAGAGCAAAGGAACATCTGCCAAAGTATTTTAATTCAGTAAACTGGGAAGTTCCCCATCTTCCTCCCAAAAATTATAGGGTTTTTTCCTTAAAAGCTGGCAGGCAAGTTATGAGTCAAATAACTTATTGAGAGAATCTACTGGCGCTTCAGATTTGGTCTCAAGTTTTGTGAGATATTTTTTGTAGCTTTGGGAATATTAGGGCCTGCTCACCGTTGTGCGGTGATATCAAAATGATCAGTGTTGGGACATGTCGGTAAAATTTTCTGCTCATGACAAAGACAGCAGAAGAGACAGATGGCAAAACTGAAAGCAAGGGGTGAGGTATGGGAAGTTCAAATAAGGCCAAGGAGGTCTTAAGGGAGCCAGAGTGAACATTGTGATTTTTTTTCTGGGACATCAAAGTCAAGCCGACTTCTGGCGACCCCTGGCAGGGCTTGAAGGCAAGGGACATTCAGAGGTGGCTTGCCATCACCTGCCTCTGCATTCACGACCCATATATTCCTTGGAGGTCTCCCATCCAAATACTAGCCAGGGCCGGCTCTGCATAGCTTCTGAGATCTGATGAGATCGGGCTAGCTTGGGCTATCCAGGTCAGGGCAACATTGTGAAATTTCTTGGTTGATGATACAGGAACTTTCAGTGCACTCAAACTATCTGGATTTTCACTGGAAATCACATCACAGGGATGTGATGCCGAAGAATCCACCCTCCAAAGCTGCCATTTTCACCAGGGAAACTTCCTATGGTCTGGAGATCAGCTGTAAGTCTGAGAGAACTTGAGGCCCCACCGGAGGCTGGCAATCCTACACAGGCCCATTCTGCATCTAACATTCACTCTGTTGTTTTACCAAACCCACGCTGGAACAGAACTTCTGAACTACCGACCTTCTGGTCTGCAGTTCAGCATCTTAACCACTTGAGCCACCGCAGCCCTTTTGCTACATTGCAGTATAGTTAAACTCCGAAAATGGGCTGCATCTCAGAGACTCCCAAATCATATAAAAGTTCCACTAGTAAGAATTCACAAATATCACTCTATTGAAAACAATACAACACTGTAGTAAAATACAACATCAGTACCAATGAACTCACAAAAACTACAAGAGTCCAGTTGCCAACTGACCAAATAGGAAGCTCACAAACCAACCAACCCAAAGGTCATCTCTTTGTGGGCACAGAAAGAAGGAAAACAGACTCTGGGGACTTTCAAAGGACAGACAGCTTCGACAGTGATGTTCTGTTTGAGATTCAGGGAGGAAATGGCTTTTTGATGCTTTAGCACAGACCTGGAAGCAGGAGAGAAGGAACAAGAGCAGTTCCAAACCCACTAAGTCTTTCACCATCTGCTTGCAAGTAAAGGTTTGGGTGTTTCCTGGATATTCCAACTGCAGGCATTGCCTTGGGGTCATATGTGCAACTGGCCACTGAATGCCAGTTTCAACATCCTGTCCTGTTTTGCAACTTTCTAGTCCCGAAGGGCATTTATGACACAGCTTTGTGAGTGCATGGTGGAATCTCAGAAGCCAGAGGGGCACTGAGCAAGACCTCCAAGCAGAAACTAAAATCGCCTGGGGGTGGGGGTGGGGAAGAAGCAGAGCTTTTTTTTCCCTGGGGGAGCACGCCAGAACAGAGTTCCGGAACCTCTGACAAAATTCTTTTAAAAATTTAAGTTCATGAGTTTTCAGTATACAGATTGAAAAATTTATTTCCCTCGAGAGAGTTCCAGCACCTCTCTCTCTCTCTCTCTCTCTCTCTCTCTCTCTCCAGCCCTGTGGGGAAGCACATGCAAATATGTACAGACCAGAGCGGTCAAGCCACCTCTTGCTTCAGCATTGGGTACCTTGTGAAACTGCCTTGTAATGATTCAGTACTGTCCTCTCTAGGCTTTCAGCCTTCTAGCCAAGTTGCTTTAACTGGAAATGTCAGGACTTGGACTTAGGATCTTCTACATACAAAAGGCATGCTTTGTTACTGAAGTATGGCCCTCTCTCTATGGGACTCTTTTGTGTTTGACACTGAATAGAGAGATTAAACATAGGAGGACAGCTAAACAGAACTTCCATGTTCAGAGGAAGTCTGAATGCCTGCTGTTCCGGACAGCTAACAGCACTTGACCATTTCCATCCTGCCTTGTCCATGTTCTCCTAAAAGCCTCCAGGCAGTTTCTGCTGGGAGCTAAATTCTGGACTAGGTGAGTTTTAGAGGATACAGCAAAAACTGTTTTTGTATTCTCAAAACACCCAGGGGCTTTGGGCTTATGGTTTGCACATGGAATAACAGATGTATTCTAGTTGAGAAAAAGAGATTACGTTTCTAGACACTCTAAATGACTGTGCTATGGAGCAGATGATCGCGGAACCTACCAGGGGAGAGACGATCCTTGATTTGGTCCTAAGTAACACTCAAGACCTGGTGAGAGATGTAAAAGTGATTGCACCACTTGGGAACAGTGATCATAATGTTGTTGAGTTCAACATTTGTATAAATAGGGAATTGGCCAAAACGACTGACACAACCACTTTTAACTTTAAAAGGGGTAACTTCTCTGATATGAGGGGACATGTGGGGAGGAAACTGAAAGGAAAAGTAGAAAGGATCAAAACCATTGGAGAAGCTTGGAAACTATTTAAAACTACGATCCTAGAAGCTCAAAAAAATATATTCCGCAGGTTAGGAAAGGCGCAAAGAGGGATAGGAAAAAGC